TTTAATAAACGACAAAAAGAACGACTTTTGGACAAGTTTTTGCAATATAATGAAAAACCTTGGTCGAAACGTTGTACATTTGCTGTTATATTAAAGTTTTTCTTCATTACCCATTCAAGCCGTTTCCAGCCATTATTAGTCTCAAAGTTGGTTCCTCGTCATCGAAATCGAATTTATATTTCAGTACAATTCTCCGTTAATCTTAATCCGGCATAGCTTTTCGTAGGCTTACAGCATTCACTTTTTAAATGTTTGTTCATCAACAGTTCTATCTCACAGATGTATTAATCATAATCAGAACGACGATACATACACATCGTCAATATAATTGAAGGTAATGCTGTGTTTTAGGTATAACAAGTTTTACATTGTCTGAATTTTATTGTCATCAACATGATATAAAATTAGACAGTATGGCCAAGATAAACTTGATTCTTTGAAAAATTGGTTAATTATCATATATGAAAATTGAGTCAGTGCTAGTCAATATTTTTTGTTGTATATTATAAAACACTTGAAACGCTTATGTTATGAGTGTTTTTATACCCTGTGATGCATTTCCACGTACATGTTTCGGGCCTTCACATTTGACGGGCGTCGTAGCTATGACGCTCATAAAATAGGTTTTGTGAGAACTTATTAGAGCTCCCGTTAAAGACTGTCATAACACTCGCTGTTCACACAATCAGCTATTGTTTGTTTACACAGGACAAACTCACAGATAACTTGTGTGGCCCTGTTAGCTGCTACGACTCCGGTACTTTAGTTTTAATTGGCTTAGATTAGCGATGTTACACACACAGTAATACAATATTTTCGAACTATAGTATTGTATTATATATACATCCAATATTTGTAAATGAGAAATTAAAGTTAATGTGTTAAAGTTTAAACTACAAAGTTGCTTATTAATTATTAACAAATTCAGAATAGCGAGAAGAGCTTTAACAAATTTGATCGTGACCTAAAATGTATGAACTTCTTTGATTTTCTGCATGACACAAGGCCGCAAGGGGAGTCATTTAGCTTTGTGCTAAATACAGCTAGAAGATCCGAAAAGAAGTGAAAGAGCGCAGTCAGCAAGAGGTGAACAAAAAATCTATATATGGCACTGAATTCATAGAGGTGGACAAATATCTATATACGGCACTGAATTCATAGAGGTGGACAATAGCACTGAATTCATTGAGGTGGACAAATATCTATATACGGCATTGAATTCATAGAGGTGGACAAATATCTATATACGGCACTGAATTAATAGAGGTGGACAAATATCTATATACGGCACTGAATTCATAGAGGTGGACAAATATCTATATACGGCACTGAATTCATAGAGGTGGACAAGTATCTATATACGGCACTGAATTCATAGAGGTGGACAAATATCTATATACGGCACTGAATTCATAGAGGTGGACAAGTATCTATATACGGCACTGAATTCATAAGGAAGTGTACTGTCACTCGCTACTTGAATTCAAAAACACCAAATTGCTTTAGATATGTCTAAATCTTACATTGTTTTTGTACTTATACTTAAATTTATAACGATATTTCTTCGTTGTTTGTCATTAGGTGTATATCCTGTATCATCAACTACCTACCTTTTACAGTCATTAAACTATATCGCTTTTGATTCAAAGGTAAACCCAAATGTTGCCTATATTTGCCTATATATGCAATTTGCAAAAATCTTCACGAATCGGAGGAAAAACACGGTTGTTCCCAAAACAGTTGTTAATGTTTTAGACACATTCAGCGATTTAATTAGGCTTATTTTACATTAAAATTGTAATCGACTTTGTATGCATTTATAAATTAATGGCCAAGGCCTAACTTGATGATATGCACTTTTAACTGATTTTCAAGTTACTTCTGAACTTTAGATTTGGTTATTTGTTATTTTGGGTTAAGTGAGCATATACCAAGGTAATTAAAGAAGTGATTTTGTGGCCTTTATTATTTAAGTACCAATTTAAACATAATTCAATGTTTTTAATTTTATTTACAGTGTAACTGCTTATTGATTTTTTAGTAATTTTTTATTACTTGTATGTCTATACATACATTGTTTTTGATAAATTTCTGTTATCGGTCATTAGGATTGCCTTTGACATAGATTCTACTGTCCATTTATTTTATTAATCAAGTTTTAATGTTTTTATTAAATTGTTTAATTAAAATGTATGTTATTCAAACTTTGTACATTCGTGCTTTAAGGCTTTAAAAAGTTGATTGAAGATGATTAGAAAATCTTTCCTAGTACCAGTGGTTCTCCAGTTGATGGTCCTTCTGCTTCCAGCATCCCTCTCCGATAAACGTAGCTCTGCATGCACAAGCTAAGGAGGCACACAGAAAGCTTCTTAGAATAGCTTATTTGCTTGCTGTGAATGGACATCCTCTGTCGGCATTCAAAACTCTATCTTTGGGATACAACTGATTCAAATTTTGATAATGTCAGTAGAGTTACAGAATTTATTAACGTTATCGAAGAAACCATTCGTGATAAATTAGCAGTGATTGAAGTCGGACATGAAAAGCTGGCTCTGAAAAAGAACTGTTTCCTTAGAACATTCAAGCAAGGTATACCAGTCTTTTTCTTTGTAGCCTTACAGGACATTGATAGCTTTGGTGTAATCTAAAGAGGAGCATTGATGATGTATTGAAAGGTGATGGAAAAGTTTCGATTCCAGAAGAGAAATACACTTACCTGCTAGTTTCGGCAACAACTGATGTAGCCTCTGTTAATACTGGAGCTTACAATGGACTGCTAACAAAATTGAAAAAAGGACAATCGTCTTTGTCTTCTAGGCATTCATTGCATTTCCTGTTTAGTTGACTTGGCACTGAAAGATAGTATATGTAAATCATTTGCTGATGTGATAGACTTCATGACAATTATATATTACTTGTTCGAATGATCTGGAAAGTTAAAAAGGGCACTTTAAGACAACCGCCAGTGCATTTGGTTTGCAGCATTTTAATTTTCCCAAAATGCATGGTACATAACTTCTTGCACACATAGGACTGAGTAATTGGATAATCTTGCTTGAGCAGTTGGAAGGAGAGAGTACCATTGGCTAAATTTCATGGACTCTTAAAATAAGATGAAATACTTTACTTTTTTATCAAAATGCTGCTTGAATGAAGATGTGCTGAATGTATGTTCTATTCTGTCTATGCAGTTTAAAAAAGAAAACATGCTATTAGATATCGTTATGATAGAAAAAGCAAAGGATGCTTTACAGGAACTCAAGGAAGAAACTTCAGATACACACTGGAAAAGTCTTTTGAAAAAGTTCAAACTTGAACTGGAGATGAAATCAGGTTCCTGGCATCTTAAGAGCACTTTGCTTAAAGCAGGACACCAAAAAAAGAAAACAGGGAAGACACTACTATCAGTGTCAACTACAGTTTAATGAACAATGTAGACTGTGTTGAGAAAACTGTAGATAAACTGAGAATTGCAATCATTCCAAGTGTACAAGATTCTCCTCATTTGAGAGTGAACTTTATCAAAATATGTTTTGGATAGATCTAGCAAACTGGGGTAACACCCCCAGGTAAATTGGGTGTTTAAATTTACTCGCAGAGCATTTTTAGGAAACACTAAAAATAAACAATTTTGATAAAACTAAGATAAGCTCAGAATGGAAAGAATTCAAAAGAATGGTTAAGAACTACATGAATGGAGTCAATGCTAAGGACCTTTGGGAGCATGTATTCTATACAGAAGGAAGGAATTTAAGAATGTTCGTGTGCTCGTGAAAATAGTACTCTGCATAGGGCTCAGTAATGGTGTCATTGAGGCAGGGTTTAGTCACCTTACCCTCATGCTCACTGTCCAAAGGCTTAGTTTAAAACATGCAACAGTGGAGAACTTTCTATTGATTAAAACAAATGATTTTTTTATGGACACATGAGGAAAAGGGACAAATATTAGAAGCATCCTTGGAAAGGTTTATGGCAAAAAAGGAGAAAAAGAACATTTGATACATATCCTTCCAACATGTTTATATAATGTTCAGCCAAGAAATGGAAATCGGACATTTACAATGAAATTAAAATTGATTCTGTTGGTAATGAAGACTTAAGTGATTATGGAGATCATGATGAGGATGATTCTGATTCTAGCATGTCTAGTAGATCAACTGAAGAGACTGAAATTGATGAGATTCTTTGTTCAAGAACTTATTGCACAGGAATCATTTGATGTTAACACTGGTGATAGAGATGCTTCTCCTGCATACAGTGTGTGGGATGATAACGATTGAATGTATTTCACTAGCTAAAAGTTAAACACAAAAAGTACAAAGGAACTTGGTACATATAAATTGTATAGGAATGCTGACATAGCACATATACCGTTGCATTTTAATCTGTGATTGCCGTTATGTACTATTAATATTAAAAGATGTCATTCTGGTTACCCATTATTTTAATCTGTGATCATGGTTGTGTACTATCAGTTTTAAAAGATTAACTCGATATTTTATGATATATGTGTTTATGTAAGTTTGTGGCTTTTATTTTTTGAACAAATAATGTAACTGATGTTTTATTGCCTTGTAAAAAAATTACATACCGTTTTACTTTTGTCTGTAAATTACAAAACTTTAAGACGATTATAACATAATAATTTTCACAATTTTACTGGATATAAAAATGTTAATGATTGTTACTTTGTTTATTCATCAGATTTATCTACCAGACTCTTACCCTTACTTTGCCCTTGAAATACAACCACAGATTCACTTAATATAAAGAAAGTACAATACACTTAGTACAAATTAACTTTTGTTGTTCACTTTTATAAGCAAAGAATAGAGATACGACATCAGCCCGCTAACAGCCCCCGTGTACTGTCTAGCAGGAGCTGTGTAAAGCCCTCGTACGTTTTTCAAACGTCAGGGCCTGATATTTTATATGGAGACAAGTGGCTACCGTACCGGACAATAGAGCTGACGTTCCCTAGCTCACGTCTCGTTACCCCCGCCAAAAACTGAAAGTAAACAAAAACAACAACAACACCGCGAGTTAACCAGCTGCTTTCCTTAGGGACAGTAAATTCTGATAGCCTGGTGTGGTTTTTCACGAAATCCAGACATCAGAAGTTTTATGTGGGACTGGAACCTTGTGACGGTTTACTTCTCTGGCGTCATTTTTCTGACGTAACTTGTCTGTACTTGATCACATACCGTATACCAGCGAGGAAAATAGAAATGAAAACAATTCCTATCGCGTGTCCACCACATGAGAGATCTTATCACCATTCTCGTGTTCAAGGTTGCCAGCAAGGCTGGCCTAGTGTTTGTTCCTGCCTTAAGACCTTGATAAACGAAATAATAAAAAAGAGGGATGATTTTAATTCTGTACATTAACTCGTTTTTAGCTAATTTTTTCTAGTCTTAAAAAGTATCTTGTCTCTATACTCTCAGGTATATGCATTGTATTATCTCAAGAGCAAAATATTCTTGTCTTCACAGTTAAGCTGCTTATTTAGGTTTTAAATGTATTGTGCGTGTATATTCACGTTTTACTGCCAGTTTTTATAACTTAATCATAAGTCAGTTAGTTTTGTGTGAGAATTTGAAAGTTCTCGTCACTCTGGTCAAAATACCCAAAGCTAAACAAACGAAACGGTAAGTTTAAAAATTTATAAAACTCCTAATTTCAAATTAGCCTTACAAAGTAGTATAAGAAAACAATTCGTATGTCCATTTTAGTTTTCCGCCAGTAAAACTCCAAGAAAGAAGCAAACTAAACATTTGATTTAAAAATCGTAACAACAACAATAACAAAAAAAAAAATATTCGGGCTCACCAAACATAGCACACGGACGCCAGTTGTCCAATTTTCCTTCCGCTCGATATCAATAAAACCACACTCGCAAAATCATAAGAAATTAGTACCATGCAACTTTGAAAATTAAAAGATCCAAGTCGGAGCTTTCGTGGATAACAGTGTATTTATTATCTTCTGAAGACTGTATGTATAACGCTAATCATATTTTGTAAGCTGAATGGTGTTTTTGTATCCATTTACGGTTTTATGTTATCAACTGACGTCGGAAGTTTGTATATTGATTATAAGATTTGTTGAATATATATATATATATATATATATATTAATTTTCAATTTGATATGCTTTCACTGTTGTTTAACTCCTACCATTATTTTTGGAAAAAACGACTTTCATATTTTGTGTTTAAGGCGCTCAACTCGCAATCCTGTCACCGAACATGCTCGCCATTTCAGCCGTGGGGGAGTTATAATGTGCGATCAATCTCATTATTCGTTGGTAAAAGTGTAGCCTAAGAGTTAGCGGTGGATGGTGTTGACTACCTCCTAATTTAGGAACGGCTAACGCAGATAACCCTCGTGTAGCTTTGCGCGAAATTCCAAAGAAACCAAACAAGCGACCATAATAGTAGAATCCACGATGAGCAATGCCATATCCTGTTTTACTGTCCTATATCGTACATTTGAAGACGTCATTAGCTTTTCTCAAGTGCACATACACACGGTTTGCATATTGTGCGTTAGAAAACCGAAGAAACGGTCTTTTAATATTCAGACCTGTGATTACCATATGTTTCATAATTGGTAACAGTTGGATATTGAAACTTAGCCTACTGTTCTTCGTAAGTGAACACTAATGAGAATCACCAAAAGTGAATGCACACTGAAGGAAAAAAACAAAAATTGAACAGTGAAGCCGTACTGTGCAGTTACTAAACACTGTGGTCTTAGATGGGTGTGCTGTCATGTGGATAACACACTGGTCATCCATTGGCACAGTGCAAGATTACGTTGATGGTTTTTCTGATTACGATTTAACAAATTCGAGTCTGGCATAACCTGGTGGTTAGGACATTCGACTCACAATCTACGAGTTGGGGTTTGGAATCCAGTCACAGAACAAGTTCACCCTTTTAGTCGTGGGGGCGTTATGATATGACTGTGAACCCCATTTTTCATTGTTAAAAAGTAGCCCATGAGATGGCAGTGGGTGGTACTGACTAGCTTCCTTCCCTCTGCTATATCACACCTAAATTGGAGATTGTTAGCGCAGATAGCCCTCGAATAGCTTTGTGCGAAATTCAACAGAACAAGCAAACACAAATAAAGTTGTCGCGGTCTGACGTTTGACCACTATAAGATTTTATCGTCAAGAGCGTCACTAGATTGTTGCGCGGAGTCACAAGCCAGCGGAAAGCATGCAATGCAGCTCAATAGTCGTGCTCAGTATTACTAACAATAAGATGCAACTTATGGAAATAATTTTCCAACACCTGACGAGGCGAGTAAAGAACTTACACAAGAACCACGGCCTACAGTCACAGACTGGCTATCACTGAATCAAACATCACTCCAGAAGAAGTTCACCTTAGATGTATCATCGCGAGGAACGACTTGCGAACAACTCATGAAGAAGCAGACGTTGTTATGATACAAGTTGTGGGAGTGGCTACGTAAGTTGCAAGACCTATCATTGTTATTTCGGAAGATACAAATGTATTTGTGTTGTTGCTGCCCCATTACCTGACCAGAAACATCACATGCACGCTTCTAATGGAAGGGACCCATACACAGCGTACAGTATTGACGTAAACACTCACAAATTTCGAAGTATCTTTTGGCAGCTCCTGCTATTTTTGGATGTGATTCAACCGCATACAGGAAAATAAATTGTTGTCAAAGTGCTGTCTTCGGGCTACAGGCTTGATGATTATCCCGTAGCCAATATGAACGATGTCCTTCGGGAGGCATCTTCTTTTGTAGCTGTATGTACACTTGTACAATGTCGGATGTTCGCTCTGACACCTGGTTAAGGCAAACTTAAAAAAACAAGCAAACACGAAGTCTAATCTAAAGATAAAGTCCCTTCCACCTTTATTATAATTATTTGCAGAGACTAAGCTCATCCTTAGACCTGAATGTGGAGGCTACACTTAACGAAGATCCTCCATATTTGGATCCAACTGAGTTTGGATGGGAGCGTGATAAGGTGACAAAAAGAATTATCGTCCATGTTATGTTTTCTTTAGGTAAATCAGTAGTGTCACCGGAATAACTTCAACATATTTGTTGTGGATTTACAAGTGAACGACCATATTCAACAACCAGAAAATCAGCTTCTCATTAGTGTTTTGCAAGTATATGAAAACACTAACAACTGCAATAACAAATGAACTAAAGCAGTGAAGAACCGCATTGACGAGAATGAAGAGGTATCTGACAATGAAGAAACTGTAAAGTGATAAATTTATGTTACTTTCTACTAATCGTATGTTC